GATAGCAAGGAAAGTTGACTTTAAGTGCCCCATAAAATTTGAAATTTTAAAAATACTTATTATTTATTTCAGTGTGAACTATGACCAAAATCTATCACACTAAAACAATTCTCTTATTTAAAGGGATGTTGAAGAAATACATAAGTGAATCCTTGAATTTTAACTTGCTTGGCCCTTCCTCTTCTTAATTCCTTCCTCATCTATCTCAACTAATTGTAATTCACGAGTAATGTATTTATGAGAAAAAGCTTTTATCTCAATTTCTAACTAGACATAATGAACAAGGTTTTGAACCCTGGTTAGTATGTACCTTCTTATTTCTATCTCTGAAACAACCATCGTAATCCAGTGGATTATTACTAGTGAGCTAACTTATTGAGGGTGATGATGTTGTGAGCCCTTCTGCTATGCATGCTGGTGCCACATCTATTCCAGATGATGATTTGATCGGGGTCGAAGAGGTCTGACGCATTAGGCTTCATTAACCTCGCTGAGAGGGAAAGAAGCAGTCTACCCTCTCCTCATCCGTCATCAAGAGAGGAACAATGTCCTATCCTGAGTGCAAGTCCGGACGAAGCAGGGTTTGAATCGAAGGCCAATCTAGAAATGGAGACCTTAATCTATAGATTTGATAGAGACCACACTACTCCTCTCACCGAGCCAGATGGTAGTTCCATGTTTTTAGAGGGACTTCGACGAATTAAATGGAAGTAGTCCATGGGTGACAAGGATTTCCCATTTGCCTTTTTTCCATAGGGGTAGTGATGTGTGGATCTTAATGCGGGAGGAGGGGCTAAAAGTTGTTATTTTGAGGGTGTTTTTGTTCTTTTTCTCTCTTTTTTTTTATTTGGAGTCGTCAACTTATCTATCATTGTATGATTTTCTTTTCAGAGTAAATCTCTCTTCTGGATCATATGAATGATATTGACAAATTGGAATCAAAAGATAAAGATATGCAACAAAGGAGACAAATAAAAGGAGTGTGGAAAAATTTTATAAAGTAAACTTTGCATGATAGCCAAAGAGCGTACGTCCAAAATGAGATTAGATCAAAAATGCTTTGGAACATATCGACAAAGAAGACTCTATGAAAGCAACCCACAATCAGAGAGTGAAGTGTGTTTGCTTATTGTAGGGTCAAGAGCAACTCTCAAAGGGACCTATTCATTTGGTTAAATATATCTTAGAGGATGCCCAAGAATACTCTTGATTAAAAGAATTTTGCTGACATTTAAGTGACATCGAGCAAGATGTGTCACAAAGAATAATTATCTCACAGAAGCATCTCGAGGCTTTCAAAGCTCTCGCTAAACCACATGGCAGAGAGTGAGTCTCTCACATCTCAGATGGGTAATGGTTCATCAAAAATTGAGGTATATGAAATAACTAAGTCACCTCGTAGGGTTCACACTGTGTTCAAACATAACTGGGCCATAAAGGCAGAGGGTGAATCACCGTGTCCTAAAAAGGTGACATCCTGTCTGCAATCAAGGACTCTGAGATGAAATCGTCGAACCATCAAAGTACAGATCTGTCATCACAAGCAATTAGGGCTTTATGTATACCGATTCGTGAAGGTATTTGACCCAACACAGCTAGAGATTCTTTATCAACAATCCATGAATTGCGTCTTTGAAGGGGACCTCGATAGCTCTAAGGTATAGAGAAAGAAAATCTAAATCTACTTAGTCATCAAACTAAGGATCATACATTTAGCCAAGGTTAGTCTGAGTATTGAAGCCTAGATTAGTTTGATAAGTTTCCTAGTTAATGTTATGGATTGGGACATATAAATAAATAAACTTACCCCCTGACACTAGAGGAAATACCTTAGAAAGGTGTAACCCATGGTTACTAACAAAAGTATTTTAGACCGCTTCAAGACTATGAATCCCTTGCTGCAGAATTTAATGAGGATTCTTAGTTCTGATGTTGGTGTAGTTGACAGATACCCATGTCCCTGAGATGATGGAAAGCCATGAGTAGCTTGACTGGGGATGTTATTCCCAAAGTCTAGATTAGTCCACCCTTTAGAATTCTTTATAGAATCTAGGGTTTCACTTCTCATATAGAAACCCTTCTTAGTTGACTCTGCCTTTAGCTTAGAGTTTTCAATCATATATATTAGCTAAATCAAGTAATCTCGATCCATCCTTTAACCTCGTCTGATTAGTTCAAACTCAAGATCAGTCATTTTCAAACTCTTCAACCATCATTCTTCGAGTATAGACCTCCTCCATTGGATAGTCGATCCCTTCATTCGAACCTTTCCATGACACATTATCATCAAATTATAAGACCCATCTCTTTGAGCTTAATTCTTCCAATATGGACCTTCTATTTATTTTTCAAACCACTTTAATCATGAAATTCTAACTTCTAACTATTTGACTCATCACATTAATTGAGAGTTTTCTTTAAGACTCAGGTCTTTAGAGATGCAATTAACTATGAGGACTTGCCCTTGTAGGAAATCTAGACCCTATAATCTAAACCCTATCTAGTCTTAGGAATAGATAGGGGAAAAATTTGTCCATTTTAAGTGATCGAACCCATTGTAAAGTAGTATTTCTGTCTTGAGATGATATATTATTTTTAATATTGTGTTTGATTATTTAAATAATTAAAAATTTGAATGTGTATGGTTCTATAAAGACACCACATCTTCCCGAAAAATAAAACTAATTGTTGCCGCCCATTTTTTCTAATATGCTTGAAAAATGAAGAAGATGTTCATAGAGCTCCTAATGTCGATAAGTATACTCTCCATTTGAAGGTCAAAAAAAAAAGAGAGAAATAAATATAGTGTCATTGTAAGGATTTCCTTTGGCAGGTAATTCTTCATCAGTGAAGAAAATTGATGAGTCTTGTGAGGTGTGTCCCAGAGTCAGAGCCATCGAGAAAACTTTTGAGCAGTAAGCTAACCATTTGCGCTGCTTCACCACCTCTCCTAAATATGATTGGTATAACACCTAAGATGTGGATTGACAGAACTCGAGCAAGCTCGTTGAGATTTTTATCGCCCAACACTTTTCCCTACTGCTGAGCCACTGTCTTGGATGCTACAGACTCTTTCATCATTTCAACTTTGATTAGCTTCTCAATCAAATTTTGGAGGTTTTGACATTCCTCCATGTCATGTGTATGATCCTTATGATACGCATATTATTTCTTTATGTCTTGGAGATACCCTCCTATTTTTATTGGAAGTGTCTTTTTAAGTAAGTTTTTATTTCAGATTCTTTCCACTGCTTAGGACATAAAGACTTTTAGCATGGTGGGTTGACCAAGTTCTTGGGTTGGTGGTGATGGTCTCCTTTCGTTGCGCCTTTTGGCTTGTCAAGTTGGATATAATTTTTCATCAAGATAGACCTTTTTACCTGCCAATCAGTTTTAAAGGTTGATTACAACTCTCTAAATATAGGGCCTCGCGGATGGACATTGATTTTTTTCTTGGTCTCCAACCTCCTTCGTGGTTGCTTCCCTTTGGTGAGTACCGATCAAAGGATTTTTTTTTGGCGGTAAGAGGAGAATTACACTATATGATGCATATACGGTCGCTGAAGACTTCAAATAGCCCAGTCAACTTCTTGGATTGCTACAGCTTAAGGTCGTAGCAAAATGGGCTCTCCATGATTCCAAGTGTCATTGTTACAGCTACGATCATAGGTTCGAGATCCTGGACTTCCAATAGTTCTCTCTGGAAGTAGGTTATAAATCTTTGCATGGATTTTCTCGCCCTTGACACAGTTTTAGGAGAGCTTGTGAATTTCTCTAGGACTTCTGGACGTTGGCGAATTGGTTTATAAAACTAATGAGGGTCGACATTCTAAGTTTTTTTTTAAACAAAAGCAACACTTGAGCGCATTATTGAATCTTGGTAAACATATGGTCCACTCAAAAGAGATGGTGTGGTTGGTCAGATTCGACTGTCCTTAATAGTAGTCGAAAGTTGAGACCTTCAAACATTTTGGAGGCTTGGTTTCAAAAATTTGTCATGAAAAGGCATTTTTCTGTGGCATGAGTCGTGATGCATCCTTATGGTTGTGTTTGTGATGGTATAGTGGGGTAGGCCCACACTGTCGAAGTTGTAGATGTCTTGATCCGCTTCATGTGATCCTTCATCGTTCAGAGTAATCATCCTGTGCAGGAGAAGAAATGTTGTTAGCCTTCACATTTGAGCTCTCTTAGTGTTTTGAGCGCCTTTGATTGCCTTCATCATCTGCTCCTTGATTTCATTGATCTGTTGAGTCACAAACTGTTGTTAATCATTCTCCGATGTTGGAGTTTTTCTTCTTGATTTGTTCATCTTTTTTATCTGTAATATTATTCATATTCATCGCACCTTTCAGGATGTTAAAACAAGATATGTTCATGAATCACACCATAGGAATAGAGTTTAAGCAGAGAAAGATAGAAATTCGAAACAAACTAAAGTTTTAGAAGCACCAAAATTTAGTGCTCCCCGCATGTCCTTTTTTCGGGAAAAATTAATCTTTAAATGTTATTGTTGTCGTATTTATAGTAAATGGAAGTTACATTAGGAAATGTCGATGTTGCCCTTGAAATTCTTACTATCGGTCGGTCATCTTAACTGTCAAGATCATCATTACTTTTGTCAAATCCCTCCTAATCAGAGTGCTACTTTACCCACTCCTATGTTGTTCAGTAGTTCGTTTGCTTATTCAATTAGCTTGCTTGAGTCAGCCAATTGAACGATTTGCTTTGTGCCCGCTAGGACCTATTTAAGTTCAACAAGGTTGATTTTTCGCCGGGTGTCCTATCTTGGGAAGTAGCATATATATATATATATACATATATATAATTTATTTTTATTTTTTGTTCAATAAAAAATTTTATTAACCAAATCAATAATGAAAAGTCCAAATAACCCGTTGCCTTGAACAAAAAAATAAAATCACAATTTTATAAAGTGAATCAAACTAACTAAATATAATAAGTTAGATTTAATCTTTTGAAATTTAAACCAACTACAGACCCTTATAGCTTCACTTATCAAAGATTTATTCAAACGGTAGAGTACGCTTTACTGGATAAAATTCCAATAAGAAATTTTATATATAATATAATAGCAGGAATTTTATCCAACTAAATGCAAGCTCATGGCCCTTATATCGTCCACCAACCGGAAAAATTCCCGTCGAGACGACCCACCGTCCCCCACGGTTCCTCTCACCTCCTCCGCCACCCTCGCCGCCGCACCTCTCATTTCCTCCGCCTTCTCCCCCTCCATCGCCGCCCTCACCATTCTCTCCACCACATCCCTCTTGCACACATCCTTCATATCCAACCCCACCCCCCACACCTCCTCCACAAATCTGCTATTTATAACCTGGTCCGCAAAGAAAGGCCAGCACACCATCGGCACCCCCGCCGCCAAACTCTCCAACGTCGAGTTCCATCCGCTGTGCGTCAAGAAGCACCCCACCGCCGGATGTCCCAAAACGTCCTCTTGCGGCGCCCATCCCACCACTTTCCCTCTCTCCAACTCCCCGAACACCTCCCCCGCAGCCGCAGCTTCGGCCAACAAATCATTCCGCACAACCCAAAGAAACCTACAGCCGGAGTTAACCAATCCGTTCCAGAACTCGCTGAGTTGTTCTTTGGACAAAACTGCAACGCTGCCGAAGCTCACGTAGACGACAGAGCGGCGGGGCTGAGCGTCGAGCCTGACATCGATGCGTGGTCCTGCTCCCAGAGATTGGCCGAGTGGCTCTCGGGGGTGAAGAATGGGAGGAGAGCATGGAGCGGCCCGACCGCATAGGTGTTTTTGTGGACGTTGCAGGTGATGAGGGAGAGGGTCGGACCTTCTAAGGATTCTGTGGTATTGAACAAGAGTCCTTGTGCTTTGGAAACGTCTGCAGCTGATCTTGTTACGAGTTGAAGCACAGGGTCATCGGCGGTTCGTGCTTTAACGCAGAAGCTTGGCAGGTCCCGGCGACGTAGGATCGTCTCCATGCCAAGGACATTTTGAACCAACTCATCCATATCGGCGCCCTCTGAAATTGCTTATGCTTAGCTCTGGGAACAAAATTTAGGAAAAAGTACCACACAATTCTTGTTTATTTAAGTATCTAACTCAAGTTCTGCGCTTTTTTTTTTTTTTTTTTTTTTTGTTATTTTTTTATGTACATATATGAAAGTGTAACAATAAGATATATAAATAAATAAAAGTTAACAATTCAAAATTTTAAAATGAAATTATAGCAACATTCATACCACTCAATTCTTATGCATTTATTTATCTCACATTCAAAGATTGATTTTTACACCTATAGCATCTTTCCTGTGTATGAAAGGAGAAAATAGTGTAATGCACCTTTTCTTATATAGGTTAGGATAATTAATCTGTAAAAATCAAAATTTGAGTCCGAGATAAGTAAATACAAGCTTTTTGTAAATTTCCGAAAAAACATCAATTTTACATCCACACAATCTAAAGACCTCGATCACCACAATTCTACGACTTTTCTCAACAGTTATGTCTTACCAATCAATCTCCTGCGTTCAAAACATGGCTTTACTCTTCTCCCGGTAGATTTTGTGTCACTGGTTCTTCCTCTTCTTCGTCGAATTCAATTGTCATGTCCGCTTTAAATTTTGAAATTCTCATTCCCCCTGCAACGTCTATTTTACTTTTGTTTCTTTCCATGCGCTTCATGCCAGCTCCTGAATGAAGTATCCAGGAAAAATTATTCCACACGAACGGTGTATGCAAGATGTATACGTCTTCCAATTTGTATTTCGGTGGGCCTCAATTTTTTTTTTTAAGTGCTACCGAAATACATTTTTTCTCCCGATCGACGGTTGAGATCGATGGCGTATACAAGATGCATACACCTTCCGTATGAAATAAATTTTCGTATCCAGAGGCAAGATTCTGCCATGCGGAATGGAAGTTCGGTAGAAATCTTCTGCCATACACTCTAAACTTTTCGATGAATGTTTTCTTGAGTAATAGATGAGATTTCAGGTTTTCTTGGCCTGTTAAATTTTATGTTCTTAAAGATTTCTCCATAGAACGATGTACAATTAATATCCATTAACCATTAATGTCAAACATCTGCCTTCCAAGTCTTCGATCCACTCGCCTATACGGATAATAACTAAATAGCATAGTCTAACCTAAAGAAAACCTCAAAAGATATATTATCCTTCTAACAGCAAGTAAGAACCCCTAATTCGAGAATTAATGAATTAACCTAGTACTCCAAACTCGAAAGAACATCATCTGAGAAGTATTTGAAACAGTATACGACAGAATAATCTATTTCATCGCTCAAAATCTCTTATTCAAAAGCCTCTCAAAGCTATTGCTTAGTTCTACTTCCTAAACGGAAAATCGTAGATGTTTAAATCGAAGCTGATCTATATTAACAGTACCTGGAAAAGGGAGCTCTCCGTTCTTTAAAAGAAGGGGAATGCAGTGATAAGCCCAGAACGAACAGGCGCTGCTAGTGCGGAAGAAGATGACCGGGAGTCCCAACTCCGCAGGTACTTCATAGGCAAGGGATAGTGTGCCATCGGCGATGACGCAAGTGACCCGCGGCCAGCCATCGGGATCGATCCCGGACGCCGGGGTAAGGATCTCTTTGTAAGGCTGTCGGGAGAAGGAGCTGAGAGATTGCATGAGGTTGAGGAAGTCGAGCATGGGACGCGGATGGTCTTCGGGGAGGCCGTCGGGGATGGTGCGAAAGCGGAAGCAGGGGAGGCGGGCGAGCCGGGCTAAGTCAGGCGAATGGAGGAGAAAGA